TAGGGCTTACTTAAGGCTCTAGGGTTTAGGGTTTAAGGCTTTAGGGTGTAGGGATTAGGGTTCAGGGTTTGGAGTTTTAATACTTGGGGGGTTGTTATTCGGGTTTAGGGTTTAGGGTTTAGGGTTTAGGGTTTAGGGTTGTTGGTTTAGGGTTTTTGGTTTGGGGCTTAGGGGTTTAGGGTTTGGAGTTTTAATATTTGGGGGGGGTTGTTAGTCGGGTTTAGGGTTTAGGGTTTAGGGCTTAGGGCTTAGGGGTTTAGGGTTTGGAGTTTTAATATTTGGGGGCGTTGTTATTGGGGGCTGGCTGTCTGCACTAGGGCTGCAGTTGCTTTTTGCATCAGTCGCTGACTGGTTGTCTGGCTGCCGAGACAAGAGGAGGCCTGCCTGTACTGGCTGGCCTGGCGGTCCGCCTGTCCGATTCTCGTGTCCTGCTTGGGTCTGGCCAAGCAAGGCAGGCTGACTGTCTGCAGCCGCAACGGCTGCGTGGGAAGCGGTCGTGGTGTGTGACCGTGTGACCCCGAAACCCCCCTAATATTAAACAAAACCCCCAGATCCGAGTTTTAATATTAGGGAGGGGGGGGGGCTTTAATAATAGGGGGAAGGGATTAACAAAGTTCTACACGTTCCGAAGCCTACATGTAACATGTACTAAGTACAAAAACATGGGCGACACATCTAGCTAAACATATGTCCTCAGTTTAAATGCCAGACCCTGAGCTAACTGCAGTGGGACTTGAATTGACCTCCCGCAGTTTGCCTTCAACTCCAAGCCATGCAAAGCCACCTTAGTAGCCCTTTAGCTCGAGGATGAAGGCGTTGTGTGCAACTAATAGGCCCCATCACTCATTTGCACCTGCAGATGCTGAAGACAAGCAACGTGAATAATTAGCGCTAACAGTACCTGGCATGCTGATATTGCTGAACTTGCCGTAGTGACAGTCAACGCAAAACCAATACCGTGCTTTGTTGCCAGCCCCAGGCGGCACGCCCAGACCATGAGAGGTTCGTGGCTGAACTAGGGCGTGCAGCACTGCAAGGCTTCACGATTTGGGGTGAAGGTAGGGTTGTAAGGGATATGCAGCTTTGGGAAACAAGGTTGCGTAGGTAGAGGTGCTCTGGGTGGATGTTATGTCTTCAGCTCCTTTGCCAGCTCAGGAGTTTAGCTGTCCAAGCCAGACATCAGGTTTTTGCAATCCCAAGTCGGAGAGTCAGCTTGCCTCGTAGCCTTTTGTGGTGGGCTGCGCAGCTTCTGAACTTTGGCCGAAAGATACCCACTTCCTGAAATCTTCATGCGCATCTGTTGCGTTTACGCATTTTACCTCTTGCCTAGCTGACTCTCTTGATGCGCTGAGATCCAGCCAGAAGGGAGAGCATGAATTCAATGCACTGCCATGGGTGCGCTGGGCACCGGTAAGTCGCAAGCAAGGAGGAGGTGACCGGAAATTATGATCCTTGAAATGCTGAGTGGCAGTTGTATATTCGGTTGGCTAGATTCTTCCTCCCAGCGTGTGCCTGTGCGCAAGTCTTATGAGCCGAATGGCTAAGCAAAACAAAGTTCCCACTGCCACGTCCCTTTCGATGTAGGTGCCAGCTCTCAACATAACAGTTTAATCCTGTATTGGTCACTTCTGCCGCATGTGCCTGAAGCCTTTGCTCAAACAATGTCCGGCTTCGTTTGAGCCGCAGCCACTGATGGAACTGCTCGGACCTTGGTCTCCATCATGCACCTGCCCCCTAAGCTATAGAAGTCTAGCAGCTCTGAGCCCAGAACTGATACTTAGATGCTGGTTTAGTTTCGACTCGTCGGTTTATGTCGTTTGGGGATCATAGGCTTCGTTTAGGGTTTCAGCTTCAGCTGATGGTTAAGGCGTTGGATGATGAAGGGTTTCTGCTGTCCCATTTTTTTAAGATCTGGGTTTGACAAGCCTACTTACCCTGGATACGGGACGTCCTTGTGCTCAAGCAGCGGCCGGACAAAACTACTCACTACATTGCTTGAGGGCTCAAAGTCGAGGCTTCGGTTTCAGGTAGTTTCAGGCTTGAGCTGTGGCTTAGAGTGAGTTTTTCACACAGTCCGACGGTGTGCAACCCAGCCGAATATAGGATCACCACTGCACTCGCATGCAAGCTGACATGCGCATCCTACGTGCACTCATCGGAAGCCTACGAAGCTGTCCTCCTTGATAAGGACTTCCGCCTCACACTCTATTAAACGGACCTGAGGTTGACGGTTTGTCACGGCTTCCGCCGTGGCTAGTGAGCAGCAGAATGGTGGTACTGAGTTTAGATATGCATGGCCTGAGCTCTCGGCATCTACATGGAGGAAAGCCCAAATCTCCGTTCACCCGAAGCTTTTGCACTTGGCTTCCGAGCCCCAAGCCCGAGCCACACACATCACTCCTGCGATGAAAACCTACAGCTACCCTAAACCCTAAACCCAAAGCTTGCGATCCATGGCCTTCCTCCTTCGCTCCTCGCTTGGACGCAAGCCCCGCTGAGTTTCTTTGCGATCGCAAATCGAGGGGCGGCTTGCCCGACGACCTTTCGGGTAGTATGCACTTCCAATACTACCCGTCCTGTAGTCCCAAAATCATTCTCTCCGACCAGGTTAGAAGGGCTGCATCCTAGACCCCTGGCACATCGATGGTCAAGCCAACCCCGACTGCAATTAGGGCTTGACTCTGTAGCTGCTCGTTGCTCCGGCACTTCACACATCTTAAAAGGGACCGTCATCTAGAATCTAGAGCAGGCTTCAAGTTCCGGCAGCCCAATGTAGGGAAAACACCCTAGATGAAGGTAACAGCCTTGACCGAACTGGTTCTTGCCCAGGGAGAGAAGACCCCACAACACTGTCGTGAATCATAGGTTCGTGTTCTTGCGCTTTCAGTTTTGGGGTGTGGGTTCGATGGAGCTCAACCTTCAGAACGTACCTCTCGTGACCCATATACCCTGCTGGGATGAGCGGGCCCAGCCCGCTCGGATTGTCAGTGCATCTAAGCCTGCGGCATGAATTCCCGCATGTTGCCAATGCTCGGTGGAGGTGGGGTTGCATTGCAGTCTGCAGAGCTCGTAGCCTTACGACAAGGGGTTCGAAAGGGCGCATCTTTTGTGCCGCCAGCGTTTGCTCAAATAGCGTGCGGAACGTTTTGACTCTCCGTCGTTGCCGCCATGCCGATGAAACTGCTCGGGCCTCTGATACAGCAGCATGATGTCGTTCATTTCCAGGATAGTGTTCGAAAGTACAGGGCCACAAGTAGTTGAGTTGCTGTTGTACGATCGTGCCACGAAGTGAACGCGAAGAAACCATATGACCGCTTAGTTGTCGTTGCCTTCCCTGGAGGGCTAGAGTTGCCAAGATTTGAGCTGATTTTGAAAAGATGACGTTGGGGGCAAGGTCTCGTGCTGACAGCTTCCCACTGACTTCGTTTTCTGTCAGGAGCGGCCGGTCTATCGAAGCCGTGTTCTCTTCAGCTCTTTCATAGAAGGCTGCATGCAACCAGGAGGTACCTGTGCCTTCTGGTATTCCAAGGCCACACCAGCGCAACCTCTATCACTATCGTAGGCTTTAGGCTAGGGCCAGCCACGAGTCGAGGTCCACTCTCAATAGATCTGCCCCAACATACTGCCTGGGACTCGTTGACTTGTGGTGAGTCTTGCTGCGCAGGCTTTCACAGGCTTGGAGCCCATGAGAAGATATACAATTATAAGGAAGGGCATCAGCTCGCGGAGCTTGCACGCCTTATAAGCCCAAAACCCTCAGTCCCGACTTGATCTGACTAAATAAAGGGCATGTCATGTGCTTGTGACGTGGGAGTTTGTAGCGACCCTTTCAGGGACCTTGTGGAATGCGAATCCTTCGCAGAACTCCAGGTTAGTCCTTGCATCTTGCGCCCAGGTACGCCAACCCGGCGAACTACAAAACGAAGAAGGCCTTGATCTGTGCGAAGTACGTCGGCCTTGAGGCCCATCCAAGGGTCCGAAGCGTGGAGTCGGGGGTTTAGGGTTTCGCGTTTTCTGGGATCTCGGGGTCAGAAGCCGAAATCTCGGGCTGTTAATTGAAGCTGCTTTCAAGCGTAAAAACCCTAACAGTTGTTGTGATTGGAGTCTTTGAACATCTGTACCAAGAACCACGGAGATTACGAAAGACCATGCCTGTTGCGGGCTACTTAGTGTGCCTGCTTTGTGGTATTTTGTGTGGACCGGTTTCGCGAGGTTTGTTGATTACATTCATATATGCCGCACCTTCAGCGGCTGTATGGAACCATCACCTGCAAGAATACCAGTTCGAGCCAGGGGCCTGAACATTTTCACATCTTCTACTTTTTGTTTTACAAAGTGAAGGTGTTATGCAAGAAGGGCACACAGTGTTTCCAACAGTTCCGGGAAAGTTCTGCCAGCAGACCGTGCGCTGGGAGTGCACGGGAGCCCTGCCGTGAAAACGACGGTTTTCTACTTGCACCAATGTCTGCATTCTTGCTGCTTTTGCACAGTGCCAGGTCGAGTCGCCGAAGTCTACAGGAGACGACAAGGCAACGCTCAAGCGGTTTGGGTCTGAACTCAGGGTTTCGGGTTCAGGCGTTTAGGGTTTTGGGGGTTTGGGGGGTTTTGGGGGTTTGGGGGGTTTGGGTTTCGGGCGACTCTTGTGAGCTCGGTGTCTCTTCCCATCCTTTTGGGTCTTGTGAGACATCATGTCCAACTACCATCAGGGAGTGCCTGAGAGTGCCTGGGAGTGCCTGGAGTACCATGATACATGGAGTTTACAAAACACATTGCGACAACTGTTGGCATAAACGCCGGGGTCAGCAAATGTTCATCGGATCGCGCAGGACACGACTCACAAATCTGACTTAGAGTGCAACAGTATGTGCACAGTGACATGCAAACGAAGTGTCGGTGCCCAAGGCTGCAGACGTACAGCACACCAGGCCCCCAAACCAATCTGAAAAGTCTTGCGAGCTTTTCCATGGGGCTTGCAGGACAAGGTGCACCGAGACAATAGTCACATGTCCGGAAGATCCAGGCTTCCAGGATGGTTTGGAGGGTGGCACCTGGCCAAAAAAAAGGCCTTGATAATTAGAATAATAGGGTTTTCGGGCCCATTATCCTATAATTATATATAATAAGGAGTCGCCAGAATAGTATAGGTAATCATTTAGGACCCTGCATTACTGCATGCGGGAGGCCAAGCTTATGGGCGACAGCGGGAAGTAGTGAAGTAGTGCTCTCCAAAGCACTGATCAATCCGGTGTTCAGGGGCTCAGGAAATGCTAAGACTGCAAATCCGTTCACATTCATTTTGAATCCTACAGAGCTCAACCTAACTTAAACTCCACCTCCGACGCGCAACAAGCCAGAAGATCAGGGACGAATCCCCGTCCTTGAGACCGAGAAAGGGTGCATCTTCTCGTCCATGGCGATCGCCAGGCTTCGGTGAATTCGGGGCCAAGGTGTTCGGGGGTAAGGTTTACTTGGGCCTATTATGGTTTGGGGGTCAACGTTTGTTCTTTGGGATTTGGGATCAAGGTGTACAGGGTTTACGAGCTGCCATGTTGCTATCGACAGTTGACCGCCGGGCGCTGGGGATGACTGTATAAGTTGTCGAGGGCTTCGATAGTGTTGTTGTTCATGACTATTTGCCATAGTGTCGCGAGCGAAGTAGCCCTGTTCTCCATCCCTGCGTGTTCCGCAAAGCCTCGCAAAACCCTATTCTTAGCTTCTACTGCCAGCGCCTCTTTGAATTTACCTGATCGGCGTGTAGTGCTGCTGGTCATCAGTAACGAGCACTACTCAACCCCCCAATGAACGCTTCGTGGACTGGCTGTTCCCCGAGTCTTCAGCACGTGCTGCTCATGATTGTGGCCGTTTTCTGGAGGTTGATAGTTGTTAGCGTTGTTTGGGTCGTGTTTAGATTTTACTGGAGTGTTAATGACGGTGGTTTTGATTCTGAGGTTCTTTGACTGTAGTTTTTCTGGCAGAAGTCACCGTGCTACCGCACAAGCTGTAGTAACTGGTCCTGTGACACGCAGTTACTACTACAGTAGTGTTTTTCGCTGTGATCGGCTGTTGGTGGTATAGTGGGCCAGCAGCGCTGGCCGTCGTAGTATGTGACATGGTCACAGACAGCGGGGTGGTTGTCTCACAGTCTGACTGCATAGCACTTCAGTTGCAAGGAAAATGTGCGTATTTCTCAACCATCCTTCGGCCACCTTCGACGACTAAGCCCGTTAGACCCCGCAGGCACGAAGCAACCTCTCAACCGCTTAATTACCAGGCCACGCTCATTTGAATGAGCTCCTGAGTGCCGCAAGTGCCTCCAAGCCCGTTATCATGGCTTGCGTAAATCCAAAGAGCCGGAACCCCTCAAAGCAGAATTTAAGGTTAAAAACCGTTAAACCATAATTGTCAGGTACATCTCTCGCATAAGCCGCCCCCTCGGACACTTGGCTCAGCTAGGCTTCTCCTGTCCGAAAGTGATAGGTTCAGGGGCCTGGGATTTAGGTTTAGGCTTTGGGCAGTTTGGGGTGTTTGGGTCGTTTTGTTCTTATGGGCTGTCAGGGCTAAGGGGCTTAGGGGTTAGAGTCTGGGCATTTGAGGGTTTTGGAATCCTGCAGGGGGCAGGGCTCGAGCGTTAGGGTCAGGGCTTCACGGTGAGGCCCAGTGCCAAGCGTTTGGAGATACCCTCGTTTTCGGGATCCTGGCACGCAGGGTCTGCAATGCAGTTCGGTCGTCCTTGGTTTGTAAACTGTAGGCATATGATGAATCGATCCACCCTCTTGTTTTTGGTTCGGGTCGTTCAACCGGGCCCCTGCACATATCCGTACACAAAGTTTCAGTCCCGAAATGAGAGAAATTCGGAGATCCGTAAACTCGCAGGACTTTACGGACAGAACCTCCTGGAGAGCGGCATGATCGACTCATGGTGCGAGTTCTGCTCCTGTCTCAGAAGGTTTGGCATGGGGCATGGGTCATGAGTTTTATGCGGCTTGTAAGGCTTTCGTGCACAAGTAGTGTATATCGTGTATGTACGTATGTATGCATGTATGTATGTATGTATGCACGTGACGTAGGTATGTATGTACGTAGGTAGGTATGTATGTATGTTTGTGTGTCTGTACGTCTGTACGTCTGTCTGTCTGTCTGTCTGTCTGTCTGTATGTATGTATGTATGTATGCATGTATGCATATATACGTATAGACACATATATGTATATGTGTATATCTATACATATATATATATATATGTATATGCCTATATATATATATACACACATACTTATCTGTTTACATCTAAATACATTTATAAATGCATGAACAAACATATACATATACATATGTGCCGCATATGGTATGACATGATATGGTGTGATCTGATCTGACCTGGCCTGACCTGATATGTAATATGTAGCTATGAAGGCTTATGTGTGTGTATCTGCATATGCCTGTGCATGTGCATCCAGCCTTTCATCCAACATCCATCCATGCACCCATGCATCCCTGCATCCAGCATGCATACGCACGCACACACACACACATGTAGAGGGTTCACTTGTGGTCGTAGGGTGCCATGACCGAGAGCACCGTCTTGTTGGTCCTGACGCCGGGTGTTTGCAACACATCCACCTCGCCGTCCAGCTTGCCGCCCAGGGCGTTTGGGTTTGATCAGCGGTTTGGGTTTAGGTTGCAGGTCAAATATTGACCGACATCTGCCAAATTGAGATTCTTCGGTCTCGTCGTCGCAGCTTTTGGATTTTTGCGGCTCTGCCTTTAGGGCTTGGGGTGTATGGTGTGCGGGCTTGAGCTTGAAGGCTTTCGAGCTCTGGCTTCCATCGGAGTTCTGAAGCCTTGAACGCTCCCTCAGCTATAGTCTCTCAAACTACAAGGGTCCCAAGAGAAGGTCGATATGATATAGTTCGTAGGTTCTAGACCCCCCAAAGAAGAGTTTAAAAGACTAAGAATTACTTGGCGTCTTGGAGTCGCACCTGGGCTCAGGCACGAACGAGCTGGAGATCCCTCTCTGCACCTGGGTGCTCCCTGCGATGGGGGAGATGCCTGAGGCTTCGCACCCCGAATCCTGCACTGCCCCTGAAGAAACCCCTCTCACAGTAACCGTTCATAGTACCCTTCTCTATAGTAACTCGACGAGCACCGCAAGAACCTGCAGCTTAAGCTCTCAAAACGTAAACTTCGACGAATGCAGTAGTCGTAGTCGTCGTCGTCGT